CAATACCTCGATTAAGATCACTTTACAGTATAACGTCCCAAATGCTGTCTTGTTTCTCAGTTTCTTATTTGGGTCATTTGAGCCTTTCATCTAAATATTATTATTTATTTTTTTTGTTGATGGTATGATTTATTTCCTGTCATGGAGATACGTTTATCGTAAGAGTCTTATTTGTTTTTCAAATGCTACAAAATCTCTCAACATAGAGTGATTTCAGTTGAGAGTCGCAGGAAATCTTAGCTGAAGCTCAGCTTCATTACTTTCAGTTGTAGAAAAAGTTTGGTTATGAAGACCAGGATTATGTCAGCACGTGCTCTTGTTCCGCTAGTGTCCGGTGATCTCTTGATTCAAACTCTTCAAGAGCTTCTCGTGTCTCTTCCAGTGAGGTTAGTAGAATAGATAGCAGCAACCTTGTTCGTGATTTTATTTCAACAGCAAAGGCAAAAATGATCACCAAGTAACATTGGGTTGCGAATTTTCCTGAATCCATTTAATCAATTTACTGTGTCAAATATGATCATCCAATGGGTGCGGAAACCTCTTTTAGTATGCTATGTTTTTGTATTTTGTATTTTTAATTTTTTCCTTAGTTATCGCTGCTGCGACCTTATTTATTGTAAAAGCATCTCTCTTCCAGCTTTCTCCTCCCTTGTATCTTAAGTTCACTTATCTTAATGCCATTGCTTTAATTTTTTTAAATTCGTGTGGATGTAAGAATTCTCTCGAACAACAGTTTTTTTTCACATGACTCATTAGGTTCATTTTGTTTCACAGCTCAACTGGTGAAATAAGACAGAATCATGTTCATGGAACTTTACTCCATGTAAGTATTAAGAGAAAAACTCGCTTTTGACCCATTGAGACCAATATCTATTTCTTACTTTAAGTGTTTGGCATTCGATATATTTGACCGTGAACCAGGAAGACTGAGTCTAGTTCGCGAAGACTAAGCTTAGAGGTGATGAGCAATAAACTTGCCTACTGTAAGCGTTGTTTTTCGAAAAAAACTTGTTGATACAGCACTTTTTTATTTTTTAATGGCTCTGAAACAAGTATATATTTGGCCAGTGTTACTTATATCATGTTCCTTACTCATGACTAATATACAGTTTTTTTTGGCTTAATGCACAGATTTTTCATTTATTAAGTGGCCACGCCCTTGATGCAACATTGTCCGCCACAATTAAGACGAAGATCGTGACCAATGTTCTTCCTCAGCTGAAGCATCCGGCATGGCTTGGCACACGGTACGTGGCTGGCTTTTATTTGTATGATGTTCTTCATCGATTAGGTTTCTTATTTTTTTCACGAATAATCAGGTTTCGTGCTTTATTCCTTATCCTAATGTCAAGTGGCTCATAATTGTTGTTGCTTTTGTAGTACTAAGCGACAAGG